GATTTATTTCACTGAATTTTGGATCAGAGCATTGTGTGAAGATACAGACAGCTTTGACATTTTGCCTGTGTTTAGTGTTATTAAAACTTCCACAAAATTGTAAAGTATATATGACTTACTAGGAAAGGATCCCACATCTGCTCTGTGCCTGTGGGGACCAGTTCCCTGTACCTCATGTCTGGTGCCAAATCTAAACAGTATCATTTCTCACAGATGCTCTTTGCACACAAGAGGAATATCAGAGGTACAATCCATGACAGAGCTGTATCCTCCCTCTGATGAGCTGAGAGAAAAAAGAATTCTAGTTTGTTTCCTTCACAGAGTTTTTTCCTCTTTCAAAAGACAAAACGTTTAGTAAATTGCCTCTTTACAGTGAAACAGTGTTAAAGTTGAAAGTTTGTTGGGTGGTCTGTTTGTTTTCCAGTTGAGGCTTTTAAGATGCAATGTTTTAGCATTGTTGTAGCATCCGCAGTAAATTACAGACAGTCCTGAAAATCTCCAATCTGCAAGATACAACAGAGATTCCCACTACTGCTCTGCTCTTGTAGGTCACTGTTTGGATCAATTCTTGTGATAGACTTGTTTTATCTCAGTTATTCTTTTCATCTTCCATTTCTTTGCTGAGCAACTTTTCACTACAGTTTTACGCAGCCTACATTTCTACTAGAAAAAAAATCATAGTTCCAAAGTCATATTCCCATGACTTTTTGTCATTACTTTTAAGCCTGGTAGGTACATAAACACCAGCCTGCATATTATCATCAGAGCAAATGTTGTCTCAGAAATACCAGGACAAGATAATCATCATTTACACAGAAGAATATAAAATGACAGTACTGGTTTAAAGATAAGGCATATTGAAAGAATTTTTTGTGGGGCATTTTTATGTGATAATTAATTCTTAAAAGTCTGAGTTTTGGTCTTCATATAAATACATGGATGTTAATAGGCCATGCATATAGACTTCCCTTGTTAAAATACCAATGAGATACCCCTAATGTTTATACATGTGTATGTACAATTAATATTGCAACCGAAATGGAAACAAAATTGCTTTAGTTAATCAACCATTGTAAGGCAATCAAATGTGGTATCAAATGTAATTGTAGAAGACCCATTTGGGGAATAACAGCAATTACTTCATACAGAATTCTCCCTTCCTTCTTCCAGTCCATGTACAATTTTTTCATGCATCTTTATGCCAGAAAAATAACTGGACCATCACAAGTGTCAAACCCACCCCCTCTTTCACTCTGTAGTGTACATGAAATTTCAAAATGACAAGGCTGATTCATTTAGATATATTGGTTTGTACCTCTGAGTTGTAACTGCTTTAATCTAAAAACATTCAAGTAGGCTTAATTCCCCCAGATGTACATGCAGCAGGGAACTGGGCAACACCAACGGAATAGGAAACAGAGAATAGCATTTCTTATGTCTGAAGCTAAGCACTCTTGATTTACCTTCATAAACTTCACAAATGTTCTCTAAAGACCTAATAGCTTTCTAACAGGTAAGTATTATTTTAGGGCCATAGATGCAAACTGCAGTTCAGATGTTTTAACCAACTTTGTTCTTAATCAGGAAACAACATATCACAATCCAATATTCCAACTCAGCATAAACTATGATTCTATGAAACTGAAAGAAGGTAGATTTAGATTAGCTATTAGGATGAAATTCTTTCCTGTGAAGGTAGTGAGGCACCGACACAGGTTGCCCAGAGAAGTTGTGGATCTCCCGTTCTTGGAAGTGTTCAAGGCCAGGTTCGATGGAGCTTTGAGCAACCTGGCCTAGTGGAAGGCGTCCCTACCCATGACAAGGGGATCAGAACTCAATGAGCTTTAAGGTCACTTCCAACCCAAACCATTCTTTAATTCTATGATTTATCAAAAAGACAAAATTTAAATTTTCACTTTTCTTTTTCATTGCTTGGTATTCTTGAAGTAGTTGGACTATAATATATTATAGTAATAAAAACGTTGGAAGAAAATGTACTTTCAAGTAAAATTGGATATAAGAAGGATTTTACTGGGGTGCTGCCACATTTTAATAGATGTGGATTTATATTTTTTTCAATAGTTTAGTCTTAACTATTTTTCTAAAGGACAAGCATATTTTCTCCTTTGCACAGACTGGACAATCTTTACATTAAATTATTAGCTGAAATAGCAAAAAAGAGGCTGAGGGACCAAATCTGGATCTTCAAAGGTTTTTTCCACTACTAGCTAATTTCAAAAGACTGTACCCGAGGATGCCGAATTTTTATTATACATTAACCTGAAAATAAATTCTTTAATGCTTACGTGCTTCTTTTGCTGTGAACTGTGCAATAAACACTCATATTTAGAATAAGATGTAAGTACAGACACTCTGGCAGTCTTTTAATTGACACATTCCTTGTAGCTCTGTATAGACCTTGGTCTTATGGTCAGCCATCTTTGCCCTTCCTTTTTTGAATATGTTCCACTCAAACCAGCTCATAAGTACTTCACCAGGAGGAATGCTTGTGAAATTTTCTCCTTAAAACTCCATAGGCTATTATTTGGCTGCAATTTGACTGTCAAGGACATTGCTGATCACAAGCTCATTAGAAACAAAAATAGCTTGTCCCATGAGTTTCTTTCTACAGTGACTCATGTGCAACGCTGCTGGAAGGGCTTTCATCACCCAAAACAAAGTCCTGGATGAGAAATGAACCTCATACTGCATGATGTAGACCATTCATAATGCTATCAGAAGTACTTTAAGAACCCTCAACCGCAGAAAGTTTTACAGTCTATCTTCTATTTTCTATCACAGCCATTAGGAGAATGAATCTTCCAGTGAAAATTAAGTTTATCAGAAAGATCTGTGTGCAAACTAATTTGAGCAGGCATTTTCTAAAAAGTAGGCCAGAAGAGAAGAAAGATTACTTCTGGCAAAAATGGAACAAATTAAATTATAAGAGGCTTAATACATTTATTTGAAATTTAATTGCGTAACCTAATGTCAAGGTTATTATATGGTGCACACGGTTCTCATCCAAATTCAAAACAGTAAAGTACAAGCTAGGTTTGCAGTTACTTTATTATAAATCCAACCACATTTGTTTTTTCAATACTGATCATAATGTTTGCCTGAGCCACAACATTAATATAAAACAACATTTCAAAATAATTTTGAGATGTCTCCTTGGCAATGAATGCTGATAAAGTCTGAAGCCTCTCTGGTATTACTGACTTCCGCTGCAAGGAAAGGTTAAAAAGAAATCCAAAATCTGAGCCATTGTTGTTGACAGGATGCCAGAATACACCATAGAAGCAATATGACTAGAAAGAGATTCTGACTGTATTCACACAGTTCTGTGCTGAGCCCATCAAACCTGCAGGTTTTGTTTTCTATTCACAAGAGCAAGAGATTAGCAGAAAAGGTCACTGTAGCATTCTCATTATAACATCTCTATGGAATATGCTTTCTGTGGTTTACATGTATTAGAAGCTGTGCCTGTGCAGAGAACACACTCAAAAGCATCCAGACCCTCTCTATACTCCTAAAGCCAGTCACTCCTATCTGAATTGTATGTCCTGATCTTAAGGGGGCTTTATCTGTTTTCAGATCTCCAAGTGCCTGAGTAACACTGGATCAGAATAGAAATTTGTGCTGCTTTTGTCTGGGGTAGAATTTATTTTCTTGCTGGAAACAGTGTTGATAATTTGAGGATTTTTTTTTTTTATTGCTGAGCCTTTTGCACAGCCAAGGCCTTTTCTTCATCTCACACTGCCCCACCAGTGAGGAGGCTGGGGGTGCACAGCTGACCCCGACTGACCCAAGGGATATTCCATATCATACGGCCTCATGCTCAGCATATAAAGCTGGAGAAAGAAGAAACGGGTGGGGCGAGGAGGGGGGGGATATTTAGAATGATGTTTGTCTTCACAAGTCACCATTAAGTGCAAACAAGCCCTGCTTTCCTGAGGATGGCCGAACACCTGCCTACCCATGGGAAGTGGTGATGGAATTCCTTGTTTTGCTTGGGTTCTGTACATAGCTTTTTCTTTACTTATTAAATTGTCTTTATGTCAACCCGCGAATTTTCTCATTTTTACTCTTCCAATTCTCACCTCCATCCGGATGTGGTGGGAGCAAGAGGCTGTGCAGTCCTTACTTGCCAGCTGGGGTTAAACCATGACAACAATTGTGCATTTAACTGTGTGCCACTATGATTCCAGTGGATGTGCAAACACAGTCTATGTTTGTAGTAACATCATGTAAAAGCACTATCTGCTTTTTTTTCCAAAGGAACAGGTAATAAAGGCATAGTAAATAACTGACACTTAGCAGGGAACCATAGCCTAAAATTAAGAGGCTTATAATCATTCAGCACAATATTAATTTGTCTTGATTGGTAATAAAAAAAAATGTTGTATATTTTACAATCATGTCGCTTGTTTTTCATTAAAGTCTGAAATGACTAAAGAAGATAATTTATTGTTTGACCAGGTTAGGAGCTCTTTCAGCTATACTAGAATATTGAAGAGATGGTTACTAAAGTACAGAAAGGGATTCTAAAAAATAGTCTATGACTCCCAAGTCTAGTAGATAACCAAACCCTCTTGTATTAAACTTCTTCCTGCTTTTTTGTTGCCTCCACATAAGCAAAAGACAATTTGTAAAAATCTTTTCTACGATTCTGTTTCAGTGCTTAGAGTAGCAGACTTTTAACTGATAGCAACCATCACTCAGATTTCTTCTCTGTAATCATTCCTTGTGTGTCAACACAAACAGATGTCTTGTGTACAACTTCGAGCTACATCCCTGGGTCTGTGAAGCTTCCTATGAGCTTCTGAAGGAAAAAGTTCATTTTACTCTCTAGTTACCCTGACTGAGACTCTGTTTGCAGAATTAAATAAAATGTCCGTTATATAGCGGATATATAAACAACATATTTGTAAGAATATAGTTAACATTTCAAAGATGAAAAATCCATGAAGTTTAGAAGGAGAGAAACTGAAACTTACCCCAAACTCGTCCCTCCACTGATGTGATGCTTGGTACTTCTCTGCTTCTTTAGCAAGACGCTGAAGATGAAGAGAAAGAAGGCATAAATTTTAGTCTTTACTGATTCTTCACATAGCAAAGTCTTTCTTTTTTAATTTTTTCCTATACGTGTTTTCTCTATATAAGTTATATATATCTACGCTTTTTTGCACTTACTTGAAAATTGTGTATATTTCAAAAAGGTGCGCCACCTTACTTCAAAAATGTTATTTTCTGTATTATTTGCTTATTGAAGTACTATAATCATGCGTTATAAAACTTAGGACCCACTCCAATATCATTTAAGAAGTTCTAGTTAAGTTCAAAATCCACTGATATCTAGCTGGAAATACTTTCTCCTTACACACACCACCTTGCCTTATATATATTAATTTAATCTACCATCCAATGACAGGTACTTATTAGAATCTTAAAACACTGCATTATGGGCATTTATTTCTCCATTATATCATTTAGCTTCAATTATAGAAACTACTGACACCCCAGTGATTATTAGGGACCCATAAAAACTCAGTAATTTGGACTAGCTGGAGTCCGGTCTCATGGATTGAATTAGCAGCTGGAGAATAACAGGCATGCTCCCAGAGGGCATTTTTCCAATTTACATTAATTTGAATGAAATCCAGTCTGTCCACTTAAACCCCACAGGAAGCAAAGCACAGTGCACAAGAATAAATATATGGTGCTTTTTCAAATCAATCTCTTGTACAGACACAACCATTGGGTTGGATGACATGTTCCTCCTTATACAACATCTGAAGTCTTTGAAAAAAAAAAGTTTTTTGGACATGCTCATGAGAAGTTTACTATAATTTTGCATATAGAAGTTGCCAAGGTAATGTGTGTTCTTCAGCTGAGCTGCATACAGCATTCCCCATGCCAACAGCCCTGGAGGCAAGCACCAATTCTGAAAGCAAGCCAGCTCGCTCTGAAGAAGCAACTACCTGATGTGAATGTAGTTCATGTGGAATCAGCCATGTTCTAACTGTTGAGTGACTCACTTTTATAACTAAATTATTTTACAGGCCCCCCCCAAAAAAAAAAAACCCAAAAAATTGTTTTTTAGGGAGTCATGGTCCCTTTGTAACAGACATAGACTGACTATATCCACCAGATAAGTAGGGATGCAAATTCTTTACTGTGTAACAATATGTGCACAGTAAGTTTGATGATCCTTCTAATACTCAGACCAATTCCTGCACAAAATGAACTCGTGGTGTAAGTCACATTTTCAGTTGAGTCACCTTGTCAGTTCTTGCTGGCAACCAAAATGAATATGACCAGAAAGCTCATATAAGCCAGAACCACAGAGATGCAGCGGTCAGAACCTCACCTCAGACCCATCCCAGATGGCAACTGCTGTATTACCTGATCCCCTGTGGGCAGTCCTTTTCCCCATTCTAACAACTACCAGGATGATACATTTCAGAAAGCAGAAGTTAGGGTATTTTCCTTTTTTCAGGTTTGTAATCTTTCTATAAAACCAGAAAAACCTCAACAAACCCCTGCGCTCCCACAAAATGTGTCCCCAATCAATTGTTTTATTGTCAATTCAAATGATTCTTAGCTAACAGAAAGGTATGAGCATTTTACAGGCATTGCCCTCTGGAAGTACCTCCACAGGAACCAAGTACCACATTAATGAAAAAAACCCCTAACTTCATGCATTACAGTGGGAAAAAGCAACTTTTGCACTGCATAAGCATCTACAGTATTTTCAGATTTTTTGTAATACACTAGAATAACTTTTTCCTTCTAATTTCTTCACTTAATCTAGCCAGTTCTGCATCTAAATTTGTATATCCTCTGATGAGTTCAAGTTGATTAAGTCATATTTCACCAGACTGTAGCTAAGCAAGATATAACACTTACTGCAAGTGTAAATAGCTGCAGTTAACCCTGCCCTCAGATTTCTCTCACACTCCTCTTCATTGCCTTAAGGTACCTAGATAACCACAAATGACAGCAGAACCCAAATGCACTAACTAATAGATCAATTATGAAGAAAAATATATACTGACCATTAACATTACTAGGAATTTTGCATGGAAAAACTGTGGCCAAGCTTGAAATTCCTCAGTTCTGTTGGTAGATTCCTCAGCATATCTGCACTATCAAATGAAAATGCTTAACGCAAATTTAAAAAAAAAAAGAAGTTGTTTTGGGATGTTTTTTGTCGTCTCAAATGCGGAAAGAAAATATTTCTCACAAAAGAGATATTGTATTCTTATTCTCCTTAAGAATTTTTTAGTAAAGTTTAAGTTAGAACCCATCCTACCTGCCTAAACAACCTTGTAAAATAACACTACATGCAAGATCTACACCCTTTATACCTTAAAACATCTCCCAAAATGAGAAGCTGTCATTTGGGTATGTGTACAGAGCTCTGTTAAAGGTACTCAAGCGCATACAAAAGTACAAGCAACCAGTTTAGAAAAAATAATAACCCATGAGAAAGCAGCTGTTCCTTGACTCCTAAAAAGCCAAAGCCAACACCCTACTGGAAGTACACGTGACCACAAGCCTATGCACCCAGGCTCCAGCAACAGGATGAGATACCTTTTTGATTTCTTCATCACAGCTTAATGCATTTGCTCTACTGCATTTGCATTACTGCATTTTGCTCTATTGCCTAACAATCAATTCATTTTTTTTTGTTCCAGCTATTAGATAAATTTTCCAAAATTTTAGCTGCAATGTATCCAACAATTTAGCTGGAATGTACATTTAGAATGTACTTCCTAGTACCCTAGTGGTCTAGTGGTTAGGGTGCAGGACTCTCACCGCTGCGACCTGGGTTCGATTCCCAGCCCCCCGGGCAGATGGAGCTCGTTAGCCCTGT